AGTTAGGTTGTAATAATTTCGGATTATAGTTAGTTAGGTTGTAATAATTTGGGTTTTTTTAGTGGATTAGGGTTTTTCGCCAAAACAAGATTTTAATGGCCATTCTTTCATTGATTTAGTCTATTCTTTATTATAGTCCATGTATAATTATATATTTTATGAATGATAATGCTATAATTTTTTTTTTATGTGATGCAAATTTAATACTTAAGTTTATACTGGGAAAGAGCATCTCAATATTCACAAATTGATGAAAAACTTGAAAGTTAATAGTGTAGTACCCGTATTTCTTATTGGATTCCTAAAAAACAACATATATAATGAATTTTAATAATTTTTTTTGATTTTTTTGAAGCTTTAATCCAACCGATTTAGCCGATTCTCGATCCGGATCGTCGATTCGCTGATCCGGATCGATTTTTGAGGTGCCCAATCCGAATCACCGATCCGCTTTTTAAATCATTGCTTTTAGGAGTTTTATACAAACCCTAAGTTTTATGCTTTGAGAGAAACCTAGAAAGCTTGTCCTTGTTTTTGGGTGAGTAGCATCCTTATTCTTAATCCCTTAAATTTAAGAGAGATATAAAAGCCATCCTCATTTTATGAGGGAGAGAAATGTAAAAGACATCATCATTTTTAGGAGAGAGACGTTAAAGCGACCAATGAATGAAAAATAGAAGGGATTGTATATAATGAAAAATAGAAGGGATTGTATATAATGAGAGCATTTACTTTCGGTACAAACACGTCGCAATTATTTTTTACTATCCAATATGAAATCTTATAGCTTGGGTGCATCACAAAATTCGATTTTTTTTTTTTTTAACCTCAATCCCTTATTTTCAAGTGAGAGAGATGTAAACGTAATCCTCTTTTATACGAGAGAGATGTGTAAAAGGTTAAAAAGCCATTATTTTTTTGAGAAAGAGGTGTGAAAACCACCGATGAATGAAAAATAGAAATATCTAATTATAACATTTTGGGCCCCTTGTTGGTCAAGGAAGTTACCAACCTCAAAAACTAAATTAAGGGTGGCAATAGGCTGGGCCGTCTGACGGGACCCTATTGGCTTGACCTAAAAAATTAGGGCCAGGGCCAGGCCAGATCGAACCTAGACTAATACATCGATAAGGCCAATCCAATTTTGCCCAGCCCGACCCTCTTTTTCTTTTATTTTTTAAACTGGACCGGCCCTGAATGGAGCTAGGGCAGGCCTTGGGCCTCCTTGGCCCAATCCGGTTTAGGCCAAAACTGGGTTGTCATTAGTGGGGCTCGGGCTAGGGTTGGGCCAGGCCTAGGCCTGTTGCCAGCCCTAAAGGCATAAGCTTAATACATAACCAAATAAACAAATGGATTTCTCTTCCATTTTTCTTTTTTCTCCCCTTTCAAAATAGGGAAAAATTTTATATAAGGATGCAACCTTATAATGTAGAACTACGGATGCACCTCAAAAATTTATCGAAAAGAATAGTTTTAATATTGAAAAACCGTTTGATTGATCATCTCGACATTAAGATGTATGACCATGAAAAATAAAAATATTTTAAGTCTAAGAAATAATGCATTTTACAACATATTATCTACACCATCCATTTTCAAGATTTTCATATGTTTATAGATCTACTTGATTTTGAGTATTTTTTAAATTTAAAATTTTATAATTAGATATAAAAATAGATTTGGGATAATCCTAAAAAAATTTTACACCAAAATTATATAGCATGATAAAATTAAAAAGTGCACCTTACGTGTACGGCTATGGATGCATCCGTATGCGAACTGCACCCTTCAAATTGAGAAGTCTCTTTCTCCGTTTAAGACTGTAGTTGCCCGGATGAACTTTCTTCCCTTGAGCAGATAAGTCTCTTCCACCCTCGACAAATATCTTTGCATCTATGATTTTTCTTTCCTGAAGCTTGTTTGTCTCATTGTTCACAAAGTTGACCGATCCAACTCAACTTGCCGGTCAAACTAGAACCATTTATTTAAAAAAAAAAGCGGTTATTTTGGGTGGTCCAGTTGGATATTTAAAAAAATAATTCAAAAATATATATATAATCTCAGAAAATAAGGGATATATTTGTAATGTGTTTTTGAATGTTTTTTTATCATTTTGACAAAAATTGAAAAAGTTTATATAAGGTGGCAACTTTAAAATGTAAAATTACGGTGCACATTAAAAATCCATTAAAAATGTTGTTTTGATGTTGGAAAACCTTCTAATTGATCATCTTAAAATCGAGATATATGAATATGTGAAAAAAAAATTAAATTTCAAGGACAAAAATAATACATCTTGCAATATATTTATCTAGACCATTTATTTTCAATATTTTCATGCGTTTATAGATCTACTTGATTTGGTTTAAAAATTCATAATTAGAGATAAAAATGGAATACAAGACTTTAGTAAGAATATTTGACACAAACAATACATCTTTATGACAAATTTTGGAGGTGCACCTAAGTCACAACCTCATATGAACCACACCCTTTATTAAATGGGCTTGTATACAATTAAACCATTTACCTTTGGAATAGGGAGGTCAAAATTATTTATCCGATGTGAAATCTGATAGCTTGGGTGTGTTACAAAGTTTGAGAAAGCTTTTTTTGAACTTTGAGCTTGGTCAATGAAATAAATGCATCTGCTTCATATCCAATGGTCAAAATTTATTGGGACTATCTTATATCAAAGATAAATGATCTCATTATATATTTTCTCTTTTTTAATACACTTGGGCACAAATTGATTTCTTTAAAATCCACATTTTTTTACTACTTTTCATCTTCATTTGGATATGCTTGTTAAATTATGCTTTAAATATATTTCCATATTTTTTGGATATTTTTGAGTTTTTTTAAACACTTTTTGGACTAGTTTTCTCTTTTAATCTCTATCGAATCAGTATGTAAAGTCTCGCACCATTCTACTGTAGATGTAGGGCACAATTTGTGACTGAACCACATTATATCATTGTGTTATACAATGTGGATGTTGTTGTATTTTTATTCTATGTTAATCTTTTGATGCCATATTGTTTTTATTACTGGTTTATATGATTTTGATGCACAATAATGATTAATATGACATACTCATGTTGTATTTTCACCAACATCGATCTCAACAGATCCTTACCACAAATAGAGGTTTTCTTTTCTCCTTGTAACATACCATTGCGATTCTTCATAATTAGTTGTCATTTGATGCAGGGTTGTTGACCGCTCAAGTTAGGTCTGGGTCAACTCCAACTAGGACATGACCTGACTAGTCCTAGTTAGAACTAGACATGACCTTAACCCATGTAGATTCTGGGTCATTGGTCCTAAACTTGACCTGCCGGGCTGACTCATCCCGATAAGGTTTCCGATGCTCCAAATACAGGTGTCGAATCTAGGTTATTTGGACCCTGAACCTGACCCACTGGTTGCAAGGCTTGGCTCGAGACCCAAACCAACATCCAAAACCATACTTTGTTTGTACACGCAAACGCGGATTATTTGCACATGACATGAGTCGGTAGTTCCTTGTGATCAAGCCAACCCTTCATTGAACGTGGAAATCTTGCAAGTAAGACGAATAAATAATTTTGTTCCAACAAAATTTGTCAACATCTAACACCAAAAGTACAGGGGCATGAAAGCAATTTTAAGATATCTTAAGGGACACTCTTATAAGTAGGAAAAATTTTTAATGAGAATTTTAAAGGAAAATGGATTAATGGGGCTGTAGCCCTATTAAGAGAGGTAAAGGTTCACTTCGTACTTCACCAAAACTTGCCATTAGTATTGGAGAACTTTTATATTTATTATCTCTGCTTGAATATTGCAGTTGTGAAAAAGATTAGGATTTCAAGCTTTAAATATAGTTTATGTTGAAACAATCAAATTAGAGCCTACCCCAAAAGTTTCACTAGATGAAGCTGTTTTGATGCTCAAATAATATTTAATTGATTATCTCGATATCAAGATGCATGAATATGAGAAAAAAATGGATTTCAGGTTTTGAAAATAGTGTATTTTGTAACGCATTTTTGGACAGTTAATTTTCAAGTTTTCATAAATCTGACCGTCTACAGTATTTTTGAAACTTTAAAATTTATAAATAAGATGAAAATATATTTTAACGCTATCACAAATATTTCTAATATTAAAACCACATTTCGTCTCTAATTTGATTGTTTAGAGCTTATGCTCTATACAAACCGCACCCAATTTTAAATGTGGAAAAAGGTTAATTGTGGCGCATAAAATAAAGGAACATGAAAGAAATTTTCATAAATATAAGGGGCATTTTATAAGAAATCATTTAATTTCAGTCAAGCTATGGGTCAACTCCGTTGCAATCGCCTCTGGTCCGTACACTCCCAGTTATTTGAAATTGAATGGTCGGCAGCCACCGGGACAATGTTAAAGTACCCATAAATAAAAAGATTTGTGGTCTCGCAAGAGCAAATCAAACAGGTAAAATTTAAGTACGAGTACATTTGGGACCTCAAATTTTGTGGTATTGATCTATTGATCCGAGATTACAATTTCAAAAAAAAAAAGAAAAAAAGAAAATTAAATCACCTTGAAAAATAATGACCGAGGATTTAAACAAGGTTAAAGAACTTAAAATATTTTTAAAAAATAATAATAATGTTCCAATTTTTAGAGGGCAAAATCTAAGTGTTAAAGAACTCAAAATCTAAATTTTTAAAAAATATATATACGGATGCTTCTTAAGTAGATCTGAAAATTTGAGATAAAAAATAATCCTTTAAGTAGATCATTTGTTAGATGGAGTTAATGTACTGTATTCTCATGTTGGAGCATGACATCATAAACGTTGAAAACGCGTAGAGTCCTGAAATTGGGAAAAAGATCCCCTCGAAGAAAATGAAAATAAAAAAAAGAAAAGAAAAGAAAAGAAAAGAAGATGAGATTTCATTGCCTTTTTTTTTTATTTTTCCATTTCCCTTCATGTATAAGAAAAGGGAGAGAGGAAGGAATTGCACGAAAAAAAAAAAACAAAAAGGAGAGAGGAAGGACTTGAATTAGAAAATGAAGAGTGCTTTTTTTCTGTGTGTTTTAATTGTGTTCTTCCACCAATGCTTTGGAGATCAAAACGAAGAAGCAAATGGAAATGGTGTTGTCAAAATAGGGGTGGTTTTGGATATGGATTCATTGGTTGGAAGAATGGGAAATATGTGCATAAGCTTGGGACTTGAAGATTTCTACAAGGACCATCCTAACTTCACCACTAGACTCACTATCTCAGCGAGAGATTCAGGTGGAGATGTTGTCAAGGCTGCTTCAGCTGGTAATCTCTCTCTAGCAAATGCTCTTCTTTTTCATCTTTTCTTTTGTAGCCCGAGAAGTACATCCTGAGCCTTGCTTTTTGGCTGTACAGTTTCAGTGTTCAAATGCCCTTTTACTTCACATACATAATCCTCCGTTTTGGAGGAAGGGAAAGGAAAGTACATAACACACCCATCCACCATATGTCATTGAGGATGGACGGTGGACGATGATTCCCACCTCTACCTAAATGCCGATGATTGTTTATCAAGCAGAGGTGCAGTTCATCTCGACCGTCTGTCTCGAACGACCGATGGTACACATTACATGTACAGTATATCTTTCTCGGAGAAGATGAAATTTCTGCTCTCTTTGCCGAGTATAAAATAACACTGTTTTAGCTTTAGTATAAAAATGGCAAAATCACTCCTAACCATTAGATTTAAAATCGGATGGTTGGTATTGTAATAAAGCAAACCCTTTTCCGCACTGATCATTTTCAGTTGAAAGACAGCGTTATAGAGTTTCTTTCATTTTGACATTTAAACTCCTTGTAATTTTTAATCAGCTTTGGATCTCATCAAGAACGTAGAGGTGCAAGCAATAATAGGGCCTCAAACTTCAGCACAAGCCCAATTTTTATCAGAGCTTGCCAACAAATCCCAAATCCCCGTTATATCCTTCTCTGCAACCTCTCCATCTCTCTCCTCAACCCACACCCCCTATTTCGTTAGAGCAATACCCAATGACTCAATCCAAGCCAAACCCATTGCTTCTCTCATCAAATTCTACAAATGGAGACGAGCCATTGTTGTATACGAAGACACGGATTACCGAGCCGGCTTCATTCCTTACCTGACTGATGCTCTCTCAGAGATTGGCTCTCGTCTTCAGCGTAGAACCCTTCTGCCCTCCGTTGCAAGTGATGAATTGATCAGAAAGGAGCTCTACAAAGTCATGACCATGCAAACTAGAGTTTTCGTAGTCCACATGTCGTCTCCTCTTGCATCTCGCTTTTTTCGACAGGTTAAACAACTCGGAATGATGAGTAGAGACTATGCTTGGATCATAACAGATGGGCTCACAAACTTGTTGAATTCTATGGATCCTTGGACCAAAGACTCAATGCAAGGGGTTTTGGGAGTGAGAGCTTATATTGAAGGGACTCAGCGTTTGGATAAGTTCTCAACTAGGTGGAAGAGATACTACAGGAAAGAGTACCCAAATGAAATTGACATCCCTCATTTCAATGTCTTTTGTTTAAGAGCCTATGATGCAACTAGGGTTTTGGCATTGGCAGTGGAGAAATCCGGTGCCGGCACTGAGAATATCGGTTTCCTGCGAGGTACCGCAGGACAAATGGCTGGGAATTCGACGGATTTATCTACTTTAGGTATTTCACCGGCCGGCCCACGGCTATTAAGTGCCATATTAGACACTAAACTCAAGGGCTTAACCGGCACTATCCGGTTTGTTAACGGTGAAATACAAGGCTCAACCTTTCAAATAGTGAACGTTGTGGGCAAATGTGAGAGAGAAATTGGGTTTTGGTCGACGGGAACTGGAATTTCCAGGGAGTTCAGTCGGAAAAAGGTTGATAAGAGGAGGGATGATGAGGCAAATTTGGGACCGGTGATCTGGCCTGGGGAATCGACGGTGACCCCCAAGGGTTGGGTGGTCCCCACCGATGGGCCCAAGTTGAAGGTTGGAGTTCCGGTTAGGAAGGGGTTTGAGGAGTTTGTGAAGGTGGAACGCTTGGATGGGCGACCGACGACTACAGGGTTTTCAGTTGATGTGTTTGATGCGGTTGTGAAGGCGTTGCCATATAGACTCGAGTACGAGTTCCTTCCTTTTTTTATTTATTCTAATTCGACTTCCTTTCTTCCTTTTGGTGATGATAATAAGAGTGAAGCGGGTACATACAATGATCTGGTTTACCAGGTCTTTCTTGGGGTAAGTCTCTTTGTGGACTCAATTCTCTGTTTATTCAAATGGTGTGCCGTCTCTCTCTACATTCATTAAATAGTTGCTCTCTTTTAATAAAAAATGTTAAATATTTGCATTTTCATAAATTTCTTAATTTTTTTTAAGGAAATAATTAATTAAAAATGTAGATTAATATTTTATTAAAAATTAAAATAATCTAATTTCTAATGTTATTTATACAAAAAACTTTTTCCTTTTATGTAAAAATCCTATCATTCCATGTTCTCTTTAGTGTCTCAGTAACCATACTCGCCAAATTTGCCTCTTTTTTTTTGGTTTGTTTTTTTCTGAATTTTGTCTTATGAAACGGCCAATGCATTTGACTTTTTAAACTACGCAACAAATTGATTATAGACACGGTTAGCGTGAGGGCTAAGCCCGCACATGTAGAAATGCTGCTCTATTTTTGAGATGGATTTTTGGAATTAATCTTCAAAGATATGCATCATGTTTTTCTTTTTTTTGATATTTTAATTAACGCTGAGCAGAAATACGACGCTGTTGTGGGTGACGTGACGATAGAAGCAAACCGATGGCGTTATGTTGATTTTACGCCACCCTACACAGACACTGGGATGTCAATGATCGTGCCGATGAGGGAGGAGAGGGTAAGTAGAGCACTGACTTTCTTGAAGCCATTCACATGGGAGCTAGGGATGACCACTGCATGTTTCTTCTTTTTCATGGCATTTGTGGTCTGGGTTTTGGAGCACCGGATAAATGAAGATTTTCGAGGTCCTCCGAGTGAACAAATAGGCAGGGCTTTGTATTTTTCCTTCTCAACGCTCGTCTTTGCGCACAGTAAGTACCCATTAGCAAAACGTCTTAATGCAAAGTCCCTGGTTGAAGCAAACATCCTTTGATACTATCGACAGATCTTTTGCAAATGATATGTTGAGATAACTAGGAAATTCAAAAACTCCAACACGCACATACAAACAATCTATGGATTTTTCTGAAATACTGGAGGGCTAGCCGGTCTGATTCAAAATAAAATTTACTTTTCATAAAAAATCAGTCAAAACCAATGTTTAACAAGTCCGAACCAACCAATTAGTTTTGAGTTATTATAATATATTTTATACTTTTAAAGTATTCATTATAGTTTGCATATGTTATATTCCGATCTAACTTATTTGATTGAAAATAGGATCAGTTTGACTTGAGCAGACCTCTCACTAGTATCTCCAACAATGATAGCATTAATTTCAACTATCCTAATTTGGAATTTCAAAGATGAGTTTAAAATTGCTCCATCTCTTCCAACTACGAGCGTCTCGCGCTGCTGCCCCATCACCTACAACTCGCGGCCTGCTCACGCAGCTTCCCCATCCTCTTCCTTTGCGGCTTGCTTTCGCCTTCCCCCTCTCTCTCTCACGACGCACGGCTATCCCTCTCATTTTTCCATTCCCCTATTCCTTTCTCTCACTAAAACCCACTAAATAAAACCCACAAAAGAAACACCCCCTTTACCCTTTTTGGTTGTTTCTTTTCATGTTAAGATTTCGTAACTTTCGATTTCGTCCAACCCTCCATGCTCAAATAAACGCCTCGTGGCTTTCGTTTCTTTTACTTCACTTTCACACCCAATACTCATTAGCCACCTCTCTCCTTCCTATTCACATAAAACCAGTGTTTAAAAAAACGTCGAGTTGAACCGGACTCGCTCGGTTTGACTCAAGAATCGACGTGATTGTCACTAATATTATTTGTTTTGACATCTCAAGTTCGAATCCCCTCTTGGGCCATATAATAGTAATCCTTTTCTGAGCTAATTTTTGTTCCCCCTTAGGGCATATAATAAATTAAAGTGCTTTTTCCAAAATTTATTCGCATTTTATTAATTTTTACATTGATAACCAAATCTTTTATTTTATTTATTAATTTTTACATTATAAATAATGTAATGTACTATTTTTTTTACAGTTGTCAATAATACATTTTAAATTAGATAATATTATAAAATATTTTTAATTTGTTATTATTTATCTAATAAAATAATTATAAAATGTAAACTAATAATTATAATTTCAGTATATAACATTATAATTAATT